TCCTTGGCCGAAGGGGTGTTCGGCCTGTTCATTGGCCTGAGGGGTTATTCGGCCTGAAGGGGGTATTCGGCCCATGGGGGTATTCGGCCCATGGGGGTATTCGACCTATGGTGGTACTCGGCCTATTCATTGACATGATGGGTATTCGGCCTGAAGGGGGTATTCGGCCTAAGGAGGTATTCGGCCTATGGTGGTACTCTGCCTATTCATTGGCCTGATGGGTATTCGGCCTGAAGGGGGTATTCGGCCCATGGTGGTACTCGGCTTATTCATTGACATGATGGGTATTTGGCCTGAAGGGGGTATTCGGCCCATGGTGGTACTCTGCCTATTCATTGGCCTGATGGGTACTCGGCCTGAGGGGGTGTGTTTAGTGTTGACTTTGACCGGGTGGTGTGTAGTCCCAGTACACTGCCCCCCCAAGCCCGAGGATGAAATACGAAGGGATTCAAAGTATTGGAAAAGATTTGACTTGTATGAGGGGATGTGTCGGAGGGCGAAACATGGTACTACCCTCGAGAGTTGCGTCCCTTGACTAACCAATTGTGATCGTTGCATGATGTGCTGCCCTAGGGTTTCGTGCCTTGGTGGAGAGGTGTGGCGTTTGGCTTTTCATACCCAAAAAGCATTTATGAAGGTCTCCTCGCACCTTGGTATACTTCTCCTCGTCCTTAGCCCAGTGTGAAGACTTGGGAGGGAATGAGATAGTCCTCCGTGGCCGAGTATATGCACTCGGGAGGGAATGGTATTGGTCAACCTTGGCCGAGTGTGTGGACTCGGGAGGGACTGGTGTTGGTCAACCTTGGCCGAGTGTGTAGACTCGGGAGGGATTGGTGTTTGTCAACCTTGGCCGAGTGCATGGACTCGGGAGGGAGTCTTTTTTTTTCGTTTCCGATCTGTCAAGGTTCTAGAACATTGCAGAATTATTAAAATATATTGCAAATTAATTATAATTTTGAGAAACTAATATCATCATTAGAACCTTGACCATTAAAAATATAAACTTTTGTCTCTTGATCATCTCTTAATTATGTTAATTAATATTAATTAAATAAATTAGGATTTGCTTGTGTGTCATAATTTAATTAGTTGAGACTTGTATTTTAATTTCACCTAACTATACATTTTTATTAATTTTTCCAAGCATACTTTATTGATGATAAAATTATTTATAACCTTTTGATCATTTTTCCATAATTTTCTAGCTTAAGGTTTTACGAGAATAATTTTTTCTTGTTAAATCCTTAGAGAATTTCTATAAATTTTAATTTAGAGACTTTCTCTCTTAACTGTATTTATTCTTAATCTACATTCAATAAATTATTATTTAAGTTATAGATTACTTAAATTTTCTTAAATTGAGTTTCTAATATTTTACAATGTGCTCTCAACGCTATCCGAGAAATAGTCAAATTAGATAATAAAATACATATTATTGAAATTAGAAAATCTGGTTAAATAATGCTACATAAATTTCATTCACAGTAACTTACGTAATATTTAATATATATATATATA